TAAAATAAGGAAAGATAAGGGGAAAAACAGCAAAGTTACAGAGGCAAGGGGTTGACAGATAGAAGAAAAAGAAAAATAGAAAAAGCTAAGAGAGATTTAAGAACTCAGTATCTACCCCTAAAGTTCCAGGTTAAAGGAAAGTGATTTTTTAAGCCATTAGAAATACTTCTTGTGCATTTCCTGGTGTTTTTTTTTCTTCAAGAAATAAAATATGTTTAAAATTAAAATAAAACTCTACTTTTACTTTCACCATAAATAAGTTTATAAAGATAAAAAAAAACAACTCACCTGCCTGGCGCACTGGGAATTCCACATGGTCAGAGACTATAATCCGAAGTAAACTGGGGGCAAAATTGATAATCTTGTAGGACTGAAATTACAAAGAAATAGTTTATAAAATAGGGCAATATAAATGAATAACTATTAGCACCTGTTACTAAATACACTCCTGTAAATAAAACTTTTAAAGTGAAAGAAATTCTCCAAAATGAAGATTACTAAAATACTTCAAGTCAAAAAAAAAATTAACTTAGAATAAATTGATGAAGAATATGAACATTTTTATTTGTTTGTTTTGTTGTGTGTTTCTTTCAAATATGTGGTGATAATGCTCTCCAGAATGGGAGTAGCAATTTGCCGTAGCAACAGCAGTGAATGCGTGTGTCTGTCTACCCAAAGTAGGGATTATCATGCCTGCAAAAACTTAAAAACCTTATTCCTGTTTTAAATTACACTTCCTCTATGTTGAATTATTCCTGTGTGTTGCCTGTTTGTTTTTCTACAAGTTCCTTATTCCCTTCATCCTTTTGTAAATGGAATATTTGTTTCAGTCTTAATAAGTTCTATGAGCTATTTATGAATTTACAATCTCAACCTTTTTGGGGGGACCAATACATTTCAAGTGTTTCTTTCCAGCTTATTTGTGCTTTAATTTAGTTTATGGTATTTTTGACAAACCAAAAACAGAAAAACATGTGCTTCAGAAAACAGGAGATCCAGCACAGGAAAAGAAGATCGCATTAAATAGCTGTGCATGAGCCCTGGAGAGGACGCAGTCCAGATGGCAAGAGGGTGCCTCACCGCACGGAGCTGTCATCAGCTCTGCTGCTGAAGCATCTGAAATTTAGCAATGCCCAAGTGAGGCTGTGCTCATGAAGCAAGTGCCTGCCGCCTGGGTCAGTTCACCCACAGACATGTTCTAACTTGACTGACTCCTGAGTTTGGTCAGGGTGACTTTAGAAGCACAAAAAAATCAAGAGCAAGCCCATTCCTTCTGACCATATTCCCACCGGATGTCTGGTGCCTAGACCATATTACAGCCCTGCCATATTCCCAGAGCTTTGACTTTGCCTTGCCGGCTGACAATCCCAGAAAACACTCCTAAATTCTCAGTAAAGCTAAAGCCAGACATATGATGCAGAATCTGTCCAGTTTACCTTCTCCCAGGAGCCTGGATCTACCATGGCACACCACTCAATTTTTTAACTTATCACCTTTCCTATCCGTTTATTTATAACTAGAGGCCCGGTACACAAAATTCATGCGGGGGGTGGGGGGTGGGTGGGGGGGGTTGGGGAGCCCCTCAGCCTAGCCTGCACTCTCTCGCAATCCGGGACCCCTCAGGGGATGTCTGACTGCTGGCTCTGGACTGCTCACCTGCCTGCCTGCCTGATCACTAACCAGTCTGCCTGCCTGCTTCATCACCCCTAACTGCTTGCCTGCCTGCTTCATCACCCCTAAACGCTCGCCTGCCTGCCTCATCGCCCCTAACCACCTCCGCCTTGGCCCCTGCTGCTGCGGCTTCTTTCGGAAGAGTATCCAGAATGACATCCAGAAGGTCCTTCAGCTATCCAGCCTAATTAGCATATTATGCTTTTATTATTATAGATAGCATTTATTAAGATGTTTGACTACAAAAAAAAAGAGAGAAAACTGGCATCTTTAAAATATTAATCCTTTCCATGAAAGAGCATTATGCTTTCCAATCCTTTCTATATCCTTCAGTAAAATTTTGAATTATCTTGAAATTGTTCTACCTTTCACCCTTATAAACCTCAGAATCTTAAATCTGTTGCATATAAAGTATATTCTGTTTTACCCATAATTGCAACTGCCAGAATTTTAAAATATTGTTAAAGAAAACAGATTTCTTTTAACAGCAGTTTACAGGCATCAAAATTAACACAAATGTAGCCCAATCTTTTGCACCTTCTACATTTACATTATAAAATAACTCCTGTTCGTAACTTTTGAGATACTGGAAGGTCTTATAGTGAATCAAATATCTATATAGTTTAATTCTAATCGATATAGTTAATTCTAATCTATGTAGTTTAGTATTTATTTTTTAAATCTTATTACACATAAGTACAAAATAATCTTTATACTAGATTAATGCTACTTATTTGAAAATGGTTATTGTGGAAACTACTTTTATTTCAACACTGTTGCCATTTTACACATTTTAGAACTCTTTTTGTAACTGTTTGCATTTCAAAGAACTTCCGCAACTTTTTATCTTTTCCTTTCTGCCTGATTCAATCTATGTTAATTTGCCAGCTAAAACATTCCATGGTGAATTTCGATGTATTCTCATACTATTTTTCCTCACAAAATATTTATCCAATTTCTTTTTCCACCTGGTCTTCACATTTCTAAGGGGGTGGGGAGAAGACATTTTGCAATGATTTCTTGAGGATTTACTTTGTATCTGTGAAGTTTTCTGAAAATAAAGAGTTTATTTGCTTAGCTAAACTCTGCATTTTATGAGAATTCATTTACAGCAAAGACCTGATGTTTTCCCATTCTCTGCCTCACTGCCGCCAACAAGGCATGATGGCAAAGCATAACTGCATTAACTATCCTAGTCTCCAGCATGACAAGCCGAAGGCTTCTACTGAACTTGCCCTTCCCTCTCTGCTCCCCTCCCAGTTCACCTGGTTCACTCCTAACATCTGGGTCTCTGCTCGATGTCGTCTTCAGACAATGACCACCCTCTATACATCCCAACACACTCTGGGGCTTTATAGCACTTATGACCTGAAATTATATTGCTTGTCCGTATCCTCCGCTAGAATGCAAGCTCTCTGAGAGCACGGCCTTGTACTAGTCCTTGCAATAGAACTCAATAAATGTTATTCATACAAGTAAACTCCTTAAAGGTCAATAAAAAGGATACCAGAGATTCATGGAAAAGCAGGGAATAAAAGCTTGCCAATAAAAGCACATATCTTTATTTCCTGTCGAGGCCATGGTGAGAATTATTTACTAAAGGAAGACAATTTTCTGAATGAGTTACTGAAGCAACATATCCACCCATTCCAAGGGACTTCTGGGTCTAGAGGTGGTGACAAATATGTACAGGAAGCATTCTCAATATCCTGAGATAAAAATAAAAATGCATCTGCCCATGCAAACAATATCATAAATAGCAATCAAGGGACCAGTCACTGGTAACAGAAATACTGCGTTGGCCACAGAAAAATATAGCTCCAAATAAGAATTTATCCTTTGGAACACTATTATGTTTCAAAGCTGCATTCCTCTTCTACATGGCAACTGACAAATCAATCAGTACTTTGTAGACACTGCCCCCATTTCCTATGCAGAGCACACTTGCTGAGGGAGGACCCAGACTAAAATCAATGAGCTGGACCCTAATCACTTATGGTAGATTACCCACCTGTTTATCCAGCAAAGTATGTTGGTAAAGGATAAGCATACAAAACCCAACATTATAACCATGTTTTGCTATCTATAATAATAAAAGCGTAATTAGACCAGACAGCTGAACGACCTTCCAGACGTTATTCTGGATATCCTTCTGGACCAATCCGTGGAGGCCCGGGAGGCAGAGGCAGTTAGGGGCGATGAGGCAGGCAGGCTGAGGGGTTAGGGGCGATGGAGCAGGCAGGCCAGCAGTTAGGAGCCAGCAGTCCCGACTGCAAGAGGGTGCAGGCTGGGCTAAGGAACACCCCCGTCCCCCTGCACAAATTTCATGCACCGGGCCTCTAGTAAGGTTATATGACATAACTTGGTCTTCTACTTACAGATCATTCAAAAAAACACTTAGAGGATATCACAACCCAAAGCACTATACGACATATAAATGCTAGAGAGCGGCACAGCCATAAGCAACTTTTAGAGGTTACAGAGGAAACTGCGGTCTGTGATGACTTGGGTGAATACCGGGCAGGCAAGGCAGAGCAAGGATGGAATGCATTTGGGTTGAAACACCATGAAAAATATATAATCTAAATATCACTTCTAGTTCTACAGGATCTCCCACTTACCTTTTCCACTTCTATCAAGTCACCTGCACGTATGTAGTATGTACGGATGAATCAGAAACCAAGCGAGGGCATGCTCACAGAAGCAGGGGAGGCTATGGTGACATCGAAGACGTGCTCCCAAAGGGCACTATCAAAGTTACATCCTGCCCCCTGTGCGGAGGAGGGAGCCACAAACAGGCAAAGCCTCCCTCCCGGTCCTGCTAATGGCGTCCCCGTTCAGCTCTAGCTCTGCTCCCCCTAAGCAGCCCCTGGGTTACTGCTTTTCTAACCAATCAACAGAGAGGACATGTCCTTAAAGCCCGGGACAGGTGCTGGCTTTAACTTTCTCCTATTCTGGGTGGGAGTCCTTGTATTTTCAAAAAGGAAATCCATTCACTTTGGGCTTCAGTTCAACTCCACCTTCCCCCCCCCGCCCCCCCCCCCCGCCCCGGGGCCAGTGTTCTCCATTCTCCCTTGGATCTCCCGGGAATCCGGGATTCACACTCACTGCAAACTCCGCCCAGATTTCCCACGAAAGCAATCCGTTCCAAAGATCCACAATGCACGCCTGCACTCCTGTCACCTCGGGCCAGGGGACACCTTCGTGAACTCCGACGGAAACAGCTGCTTCTCAGGCTTAGGAAGCACAGATCCCCTAGCCGGCTACTTCACACCACCCGGGCCCCAAGCCCAGCTCCCGCCTCCTTCGGCCGCAGAGCGCCCCGGGGCATTTGCGTTCCCAGCAAGTTCCCGGGTGATGGGGGCGCTGCCCGTCGTGGGCGCCGCTTGGAGAAGCCCCGGTTTAGGATCGTAGCTTAAGAACTAGCACCACCTCCCGCAGCTGTCATCGCCTCCTGGGGTGGGGGGCGGGGGGCAGACCTGAACCTGTGCTTTCCGTGGGAGCTCTGGGCTCCACCCCTGCAGGTGCGGAGGGAAGCAGGAGCTAGAGTTGGGGCTCGGTAACATTCCCCAATGTCGGCGGTGACGCTGGGACACGCTCAAGGCTGGTGAGTGGGAATAGGGGATGGAGGGCAAAACAAAGTCTCACACGTTTTCAAAGAAACCCCTCCGCACGCGCATCCTCGCGCTTGCCTTTCGGAAGGCGGTCCCCCGGGTCCTGCCTCCGATGTCCAGGGCACCTTCCCCGCGGCACCCCCCAGCGCCCCCAAACTCTGCCGACCCGCGCCCCACAGCCCGGCCAACCCCACCGAGGCAGGCGACGCGCACCGGGAGGGGCTGGGTCTGCGGAAGCGCTGCGCTCGGACCTGAACTGTAAGTGGCTTTCCCACCCGCGTCCCCGCGTCGGGACTCCAGTCACCCCGGAGCCACCCGCAACGGCGGCCGAGGCTTCCTCCCGCGGACCCGGCGCCGAACTCACGGCTCGGGGCGGACAGGAGGATGCAAAGGCAGCCACAGGTGCGGGGCCGCTCGGGGAGGTCCCGGGGGTGCCGCCCGCACCCTGCGGCGGGGGCGGGGCGGGGCGGAGTGGGGCTGGGCGCCGGCGGGGGTGGGGATCGGGGGGCGCCGCGGGCCCGGCCTCACCTGGTTGAGCTCGTTCTCCGCCGCGATCCGCAGCTTCGGGTCGATGGTGCCCTTTAGCGCCTGGATGATCCGATTGAGGTCCATCTCCCCGGGGGGGGGGGGGGGGGGGCTCCGCGGCCCCCGGGCCCGTAGGCCGGACTGCAGCTTTCGTCCTCCTCTGGACCCCTCGGCTGCCTCCTGCGTGACCCCCGCACTACCTCACTCCCCGGCCCCCGCCCCCGTCGCCACCTGCAGCCACTTGCTGCGCCACTCCGACTCCGCGCCCCCTGTCCTCCCTGTCCACCCCCCACAACTCGCTCTCCATTCACCCTTTTACGACAGTCGGCGGGGAGGCGGGAGAAGAGGAAGCGGCGCGCGCTTTACGGCGGCCTCCTCCCGGCGAGGCGAGGGCGGCGCCCCCTGGCGGCCGGCGTGCGGCTGTGCGGCTCAGCCTCGGCCGCTGCCCGAAGGACCTCGGCTCTCTCCGCCTCCCCGCCGCCCCCTAGCGGCCGGCGTGCGGCTGTGCGGCTCAGCTTCGGCCGCTGCCCGAAGGGACTCGGCTCTCTCCGCCTCCCCGCCGGCAGCGCTCGGAAAGCCCCGCCCTCCTCTCCCAGTTGGCGAGATGTCTCTTTACAGCTGCTTCCAAATTAAGCTTATATGGATAGACGGGCATTTTTTGTTAGTCCAAGAGCTGTTCGGGCATCACCACGGAGTCTGTTCCAGAGACCCTGCGATCAGCCCACAGAAGGACAAGGTCCCCTCGATCTGTGGGGGCCTCCATTCAGTCGCTGAACGCTAGTTGAACAGGTCGTTGAACCAGAGGACTGAAATATTCAGGCCCCACATTGTAACAACGTGAATTTGACGCAGGTTACTCTGAAGGAATTTACCATCTGATAAAAGAGACAAATGTAAACAGATAAAGTATACTAACTCTGGAAATACAGAGATCAGAGAAATGAACTACATGCCTCCTGAGTTTCTGAACAATGTCCAGACCTCCTCAGAAAAGTAGTGAAAGGCATTGAAGGGTTATACCGTTCCACACATTATGGCCACATCTGGCCCCACAATTTCATACAAATAGTAAGGAGCTAGTTCTTCCTGAGGTTAACCAGGAAGAGAGTTCTGATTATATATTTATGGTGGACAAAATACAGCTGAGGGATATGATCTTTCCAGGAGAAGATGATTAAGATAGATTGGTTCAATTAACTGGGTTCAACCAAGAGGCTAGACTAGAATATATGTAGTGGGCACAAAAGTGCCCAGGGAGTGTGTCTCTGATTGCTTCCAGTTTCGCCCCTCTTTAATCCATTCTCCACACTGCCGTCAGAGTCATGTTTCATTTTTTTAAACATTTTATTGATTTTTAGATAGAGAAGAAGGGAGAGAGAGAAACAACGATGTGAAAGCCAAACATGGATAGGCTGCCTCCTACCAGGGATTGAACCACAACCTGGGCATGTGCCCTGACTGGGAATTGAACCAGCAACCCTTCCATGCACAGGATAATGCCTAACCAACTGAGCCACACCAGCCAGGGCCAGAGTCATGCCTCTTAAAAGTTAATAATGTCATGTCCCCTCCTTGATGATTTTTCATCAATTTCAAGATATAAAACACAAACTGCTTAGCACTCCAGGAGTTTAGAAAACACAGTGCCTCTCATCTCCACACTGTTTCTTTAGCCCACTCTCTTGGACCTCATGATAAGTAATCTAAAACTCCTTGACCTCTGGTCCTAGCCGGTTTTCTCAGTGGTTAGAGCATTGGCTGGGGACTGAAGCATCTCCAGTTTGATTCCAGTCAAGGGCACAGGCACGTACCTCAATTGCAGGCTCACAGGGTCCGGGCGAGTACAGGAGGCAACCAATTGATGTCTCTCTCTCACATCAATGTTTCTCTCTCTCTCTCCACTTCCCTTCCACTCTTTCTAAAAAATCAAAGGGAAAAATATCCTTGGGTGAGGATTAACAACAAAAAACTCCTTGACCTCTGAAATCTCTTTCTTTCTCTCTCTAATTCCACACCTGTTTTCCAACTCAATCGCTTTTTTAGTTCTCCTTAATCTATTTGTTGCTGACTACACATCCTTCTTTGCTATTAAACTCCAAATTCACTCTTAAGTCTATCCCTGACCCACTGTGCAAGTTGAGACCATTACAAATGTGTGTTGCTCTCTCCGTCTCAACAATCCTATTCCATGTCTTTGATCAGCATCATCTCCCCTCCTTCAGCAGCTACCCCCTCTCACCGAGCCCTGCAAAGATGAGCAAAGCCATCAGACTCAACTCACGCAAACACAAATTAATCTCCTTCCCTTCAATCAGAACCCAGTCCCTCCCCACCTCCTCTTGGACCTTGCTCCGTAAATATCTCGTCTCTCTTCTATATGTTTTTGCATTAAATTTTGGGTATTCTTGCATGCTCATTGTTGGTGATTTGTAAAACTTTTTTCTCCATTGATTGAACCTCTGCCTAAACACATTTTCCCCAGTTTTAAAAAAAAACAAAACAATATTTTTTCAGTAATGCTAATTATGGTTAATTCTTTTTCACTTTACATTCCAAAGAAGTCTTCATTGTCTCTGCTTCCACATTTCCTATTCATGCTTCTATCAGCTATCCCCACTGAAATTGCCAAGCAAAAATCAACATTGATTTTTCATCAATTTCCAGATGTTTTTATGATGTTTCTCTCTCCCATGAAAACATCATCCCAAATGCCAGAGACATTTTCAGCTCTCATATTAAAAAGTCTCTCTCTGGTATCTGGCATGATATTATATGCTCTTGTTTCTTTTTCATCTCTTTCCTTATTTTCTCTTAAAGAATGTATTCCTATCCCTTTGATTCGTGACTTGATCACCCAACTCTCATACACTGGTGCATCTCAGAACTCCCTTCTCAGCCCACGTCTCTTTCCCTTCCACCCATTCTAGTTTCATCATTCCATCCACTTATAGAACTTTAACCACCAACTCAACAGGAACAACTGACAAAACTACTTCTAACTAAGATGTCTGTCCTCAAACTAGGTGTATCCAAGTGCCTACTACACACGTACCTGAATGGACCCAAATCTTTTAAGGCACATGTCTAAAACTGAACTCTGGTAGCACTAAAGATGGTTTGGAGTAGGGAGAGACCTGATGATGTCATTCTAATAACATAAAAGGAGAACATAGATTTTTTAAAATAGTGACACCACCAAGTGCTGGTGAGGATGCAGAGAAACTGGATCGTGCATATATTTTTGGCAGGTGTGTAAAATAGGACAGCCTCTCTAGGAAAATGCAAGCAAGCAAACTGTGGGACATCTATGCCGTGGACTACTACTGAGGTATCAAAGGAATGACACATGCAACAACCTGGGTAAGTCTTCAGAGAATTATGTTAAGTGAAAAAAGCCAGTCCCAAAAGATCACATGCTGATTCCATTCATGTAACTTTTCATATGTAACATCCTATCTAATAAAAGAGAAACATGGTAATTAGTGTATGACCGCTACCCTTCCCATTGGCTAATCAGGGCAATATGCAAATTAACTGAGAGCCAAGATGGCGGCCGGCAGCCAGGCAGCTGGAAGCTAACATGAGGCTTGCTTGCTTTAGTGACGGAGGAAGCCAAGCTTCCCCGCCTGCCTTGCCGGCCTCTCAGCTGCACTCTAAGCAACTATGTTACAAAAATAGAAGCTAAGCAAAACCCTGGGCTTCAGCCAGCAGGACCGCAACATTGTTTCAAATACAGAAGGGTAAACAAAGGCCAGAAACCTGCTTTCAGCAGTGGAAGTCTCATAGCTGGAGCCGAGCCTCAGAGCTAAAGCTGGCCCAGAATGAAAAAAAAAAGGAAAAAAGGACAGGTTGGGAGCTTCAGTCACTCGCCAGCCTGAAAACGGCCCTCAGCCCCTCACCCAGGCTGGCCAGGCACCCCAGTGGGGACCCCAACCCTGATCCAGGACACCCTTCAGGGCAAACCAGCCGCCCCCCACCTGTGCACCAGGCTTCTATCCTATATAGTAAAAGGGTAATATGCCTCCCAGCACCGGGATCAGCGGAGCAGCGAGGCCTCCCGGCACCGGGATCAGCATGACAGGGGGCAGCGACCAAACCCCCCTGATCGGCCCTGCTCTGTGACAAGGTGCAGCGCCCCAACCCCCCCCCCCCCTCCCCACGGGCCCTGCTCTGTGACGGGGTAGAGCCATAACCTCCCCATCGGCCCTGCCCTGAGTGTGACAGGGGGCGGTGCCCCAACTCCCTTATCGGCCAAACTCTGTGAGTGACAGGGGGGAGATCCTCAACTCCCTGATCAGCCCTGCTCTGTGCATGACACGGGGGGAGCTCCCCAACCCCCTGATCGACCCTGCTCTGTGCGTGACAGGGGGTGGCGCCGCAACCTCCCTATTGACCCTGCCTTGAGTGTGACAGGGGGTGGTGCCCCAACCCCCCAATCGGCCCTACCCTGAGCGTGACTAGGGGTAGCATCACAACCTCCCGATCCGCCCTGCTCTGTGCATGACAGGGGGCGGCGCCCCAACTCCCCAATCGGCCCTGCTCTGAGCCCAACCAGGGGCTGCACCTAGGGATTGGGCCTGCCCTCTGCCACCCGGGAGCATGCCTAAGCCAGCAGGTTCTTATCTCCCAAGAGGTCCCAGACTGCAAGAGGGCACAGGCCAGGCTGAGGGACCCCCTCTCCCCCCCGAGTGCACAAATTTTTGTGCACCGGCCTCTAGTTCTTAAAATAAATTATATATAACTGATCTGTGGTGATGAGGGGTTAAAGTGGAGGTGGAACAAGAGGGAAGTGGGTGTGACTATAAAAGACCAACAGGAGGGATCCTTGTGGTGATGGGAATGTTCTGTATCTTGAAAGTATCAGTCTCAAACCCCTGGATGTAATATTGTACTGCAGTTTTGCAAGATGTTACTGTTGAAGCAAATCGAATAAAGGGTACATAGGATCCATCTGTATTATTTCTTAGAACTACATGAGAATCTACTATTATCCCAAAATAAAAACTTTAACTACCAAACTACATAATTAAAAAGAGAGTTGCCCAGCTGTCATGGCTCAATGGTTGGGCATCAACCTATAAACCAGGAGGTCACGATCAAGGGCACATGCCCGGGTTGCGGGCTCAATCCCCAGTGTGGGGCATGCAGGAGGTAGCTGATCAATGATTCTCATCACTGATGTTTCTCTCTCTCTCTCTCCCTCTCCCTTCCATCTGAAATCATTAAAAATATATTATTTTTTTAAAAAAGAACATCAACTCTCTTATACTTTAGACCAGCCGTGGGCAAACTCTGGCCCACGGGCCGGATCCGGCCAGTTTGAAATGAATAAAACTAAAAAAAAAAAAAAAGACCATACCCTTTTATGTAATGATGTTTACTTTGAATTTATATTAGTTCACACAAACACTCCATCTATGCTTTTGTTCCGGCCCTCCGGTCCAGTTTAAGAACCCATTGTGGCCCTCGAGTCAAAAAGTTTGCCCACCCCTGCTTTAGACTCAGTGAAGAGAAGTTACTAAAAAACAATGCCGTCAAATTATTGTCTAAGACAACAGGAAAAAAACATCTGATTCTGCTCTCAGATTTCTTTGCAAGTGTTTTAAAGTAGTTTTCCCTAAACTATAACTTATATTTATCTTATATTTGGTCCGTTGTTTGAGTCCCCTCTTTTATTTCTTTGCATAACATGAAAGGATGTCTATATGTATGATATCCTCACCATGTTTAAGGTAGAATTTGAGCCAGCTATGTTGCCTTGTATGGCCATGGTTTGTCTATGCCTCACCTCTCTGTGCCTGTTTCCTCATCTGCTTCCAAGAGCTGTTCTGAAGATTAAATGAGATAAGCACATTGTTCATGGTACAATATAATCAGTGTATTCTAGTTAAAAGAAACCTTATTCAGCTTTGATGAAAGACAGTGACATAGTGAGACAGTCTCACACCATGCCTAGCACATAATAAGCAATCAATACGTACTGGCTGGATGAATAAATGCACACATGTGAGAGAAATAAGGAGTCTAACACGTGATATCTACAGTGAGAACACAGACAGGCAGACATCAAACCTTTCACGGGTTGAATAAACAGGAATTTGTGACTGATTAGGTATACAAAGTAACAAAGGGAAGTCAAGCTTGGTGCCAAAGTTTCAAGCTTTGATGGCCTATGGAAATCATTAACCAGAGAAAATGGAAGTAGTATTAGATTTTGAACGAATTATGACTATCTGGGCACATGTTGAACTAGAATTATTTATGGGCCATACAGCTAGAGATTTCCAGTGACAACTGAACATCCACGTCTGGCCCTCACAAAAGAGCTGGGTGAGAAGGCAGGAAGCTCTGGCCGAGGGAGAAGGAATAAAGGGCTAGAGTTAGAAAACCGTGAGTCATCTGTGCATATAGGTTCGGTGACACCACAGAAGTGGATGCCATTACCCTAGAAATACAGCACACGGCGAGAATACTGGCATGATTACAGCTCAAATGACAGAAAGTGATTTTTTACTGTAAGCACTGCCACAGCGGCCTTTTTTGAGAGTTCACATTTTAGTCGTCTAAATGGAACAGCACAGCTGTCCTCCCCATCTGCGGGCAGCAGCTCATCTGCTGGTCTCTGTTCCAGGGCTTGAATCTAGTCCACATGGTAAAGAGAAAATGGGAGCAAATGCACAAAAATCCCTCCCTTTAGTTCAACAGTCTGTCCTTTAGACCATGTTAAACTGTAAGCGAATACTGAAAAGTTTGTGATTAAACACTTCTACTGAGAAAGTGTCTATATTGGCAGAGCTCTACATCATAGCACCTGAAATATATGCAAGAGCGTATACATATATCTTATCAGTGTAAGATCTTTAGTATTTTGTTACTAGAGGTCAACTGTAATCTCCTTTAAGACGTCACACGTAACCCAAAGCTCCGATTAGGATTTACGAAAAGAATGAGACAGACCTCACAGTTCAAGAGGAATTTTAAAAGAATCAAACAAAACAGTGCTAGGAAAGCTAAAATAATAGAGGGCTAGGAAGCTTCTGAACAGTAACTTTCTTCACCACCGGACTAAAATGTGGTGGTTGGGGGCAGGGATAGAACCTAAAAATAGTAGCATTAACCTGAACTAAAAAAGAAATACCTACTTTCAAATTGGTGTGCTTTTCCCCCTCTCCACAGGTTGTCTCTTCGTTTCCTCAGGCTTTCCACATTTCCCATTAGAAAGGGAGTCATCCTGCCTCAACTTCAGGATCTGTACCTTATGAACGACTCCAGTGAGTCCACGTCGCCCAGTCTCAGTGTCCGGTTTGCCCCAGCAGAGCTGAGTAGTGCACTGGAAACTTGTGTGTGCAAAATGGCAATGGGAACATGGTCGGAACGAAAGAAAAGGGGAAAGTACTGCAGAAAATGCTGTGCTGTGTTTGGACGTGAGAGAGCCAAGTCTGGCTCCAGCACTTCTGCTAGAGGCCTCAGAAAGTCTGTCTCCAAGAGTCTCGATTTTCCGTCCCCGAAAACAGAGTGGACCTCACAAGGGCCATGTGAGGAGCAAATAAGAAAACATAGATAAGCCGAAACCGGTTTGGCTCAGTGGATAGAGCGTCAGCCTGCAGACTGAAAGGTCCCAGGTTCGATTCCGGTCGGGGGCATGTACCTGGGTTGCGGGCACATCCCCAGTGGGAGATGTGCAGGAGGCAGCTGATCAATGTTTCTCTCTCATCGATGTTTCTGGCTCTCTATCTCTCTCCCTTCCTCTCTGTAAAAAATCAATAAAATATATTTAAAAAAAAAATCAATAAAATATATTTAAAAAAAAAAGAAAAAAAAAAGAAAAAGAAAACATAGATAAGAGTACTCTCTAAATTATGAGGTGAAATGCAAATATTAGTAAAAGATGGCAGGTTTTAGGTTTTTTATAGTAACATTCTCCCATGTATTATCCCAGACTTAATTAAAACAAACTCTCAAGCTCTATCCAATGGAATGCAGGAGGCAGCTGACTGATGCTGCTGTTTCTCTCTCTCTCTCTCTCTCTCTCTCTCTCTCTCTCTCTCTCTCTCCCTCTCCCTTCCTATCTCTCTAAAATCAATAGAAACATTTTTTTTAAATAAGATCTTGTCTTTTCATTCTCATAAGCCTAAGAATAATTTCTACCTCACTGTCTTTATACAAATCAGTATTTATTTCATTTAAAATACTCTCCTAGAACATAGTTATTATGAGAAGATACCTTAGTTAATGAATTTCTTGGTTGTGACACTTACCTTAAAAAATAGATAGGCACTCACACTTTTAAATAAACATTGATTGTGTGCAGGGGGAAAGACTAAGTACAAAACATAATGGGTAAAAATGGCTGAAAGTCATCATTGAACTTGATCAACAACAGTTTCTAAACATCAAGTTTCCCCTTCAATCATCTGATCATATTTCTGCATTTCTGTATACTTTTTAGTTTGTGTTCTAGACATAAAAGCCATAACTAATTTATTTAACTGGAATACTAATATCCTTAGTCCACAAAATACCTACCATAAATTGAAAAGGTTCCGTTAAATAGTGAATCACATTACATCCTTGATCTTGAAAACACTATACTAACATTTAACACCATGGAAAGTTAAATATGTCTTCAGGGTTTCATTGCTAAACCCACACCCTACTCAAAAAGTATTAGCTATCTATATAAATAAAAGCCTAAGGGACCAAACAACCAAACAACCGAATGACTGGGCAACCGGTTGCTATGATGTGCACTGACCACCAGCAGGCAGATGCTCAATGCACGAGCTGCCCCCTGGTGATCAGTGTGCTCCCACAGCCAACCTCCCACAGTCCCTCCCGCTAGCCAGCCCCGTCCCACAATCGGCCCCAATCGCCAGCCAGGCCAAGGGACCCCACCGGTGCACAGATTCATGCACTGGGCCACTAGTCCTATATAATAAAAGGATAACATGCAAATAGACTGAACAGCAGAACAACCAAACAACCAATCAAAGTGTAATCCTATATAATAAAGAGGTAATATGCAAATTAAACCTCATGCCCTCACAAGATGGCTGCCTACAACCAGGCCGACAGGGGGGTTAGTGAGGGACAACCAAATGACTGAATAAGCAGGCTGCATGGGGCGACCAGGCCAGCAGGGGGGTTAGTGAGGGATGACCAAATGACTGAACAGCAGGCTGTGTGGAGCAACCAGGCCAGCAGGTGGGGCAGTTAGGGTGACCAGGTCAGCGGGGGGGGGGGGGGGGGGGGGGTGGCAGTTAGGGGCAACGAGCCCAGCAGAGGGGTGCAGTTGGAGGCAACCAGGCCAGCAGGGGGGGAAGTTGAGGGCTATTAGGCTGGCAGAAACGGCAGTGAGGGGCTATTAGGCTGGCGGGGGGGGCAGTTGGGGGCAACCAGGGGGGGGCATTAAAGGGTGACCAGGCTGGTGGGGGGTGGGGCAGTTAGGAGCGACCAGGCCAGCAGGGAGGGGCAGTTGGGGGTGACCTGGCTAGCAGTGGGGGGCAGTTAGGGGCAACCAGGAAGGCAGGCAGGTGAGCAATTAGGAGCCAGTGGTCCAGGATTGTGAGAGGGGTGTCCGACTGCCGGTTTAGGCCCGATCCCCAGAATCGGGCCTAAACCGGCAGTCAGACATCCCCCAAGGGGTCCTGGATTGGAGAGGGTGCAAGCTGGGCTGAGGGGACCCTCCCCCGCACAAATTTCATGCACCGGGCCTCTAGTATGCTAATGATATGCTAAGGCTGCTCAACCGCTCGCTATGACATGCACTGACCACCAGGGAGCAGATGCTCCGACTGGTAGGTTAGCTTGCTGCTGGGGTCCAGCCAATTGGGACTGAGCAAGATGGACCAGACACGCCCTGGAGCCCTCCCATTGCCCCTCCCCAGCCCGATCGTGCACCAATAGGGTTCCTCAGCTGGGCCTGCGGGGATCTGGCCGAAATTGGTCTGGTGCATGGATTCATCCAGGGCATGTCTAGCTTGTCTCATCCAATCCCAACTGAGGCCAATCGGGGCCAGCCAGCCAGGGAGGGACCGCAGGAGGTTGGCCAGCCTGGGAGGGCTCCAGGGCATGTCCAACCTGTCTCACCCAGTCCCAGTAGGCCAGATCCCAGCAGCAAGCTAACCTACCAGTTGAAGTGTCTGCCCCCTGGTGGTCAGTGCATGCCATAGCGACTGGTCAATTGATCAACTGTCTGCCCTCTTGTGGTCAGTGTATGTTATAGCAAGTGGTTGGGTGGCCTTAGCATATCATTAGCATATTACATTTTGATTGCTTGAACAGCCAACAGGTCGACCAGACACTTAGCATATTTGGCTTTTATTATATAGGATGTTTGGAGTATTTGTTCTAGCTCTGTGAAATAGGCCATTGGTATTTTAATAGGGATTGCATTGAATTTATAGATTGCCTTGGGTAGTATGGACATTTTAATGATGTTGATTCTACCAACCCATGAACATAGTATATTCTTCCTCTTGTTTATATCTTCCTCTATCGCTTTTTCAACATCCTGTCGTTTTTCAAGTACAGGTCTTTTGCCTCCTTGGTTAGGTTTATTCCTAAGTATCTTAATGTTTTTGTTGCAATGGTAAATAGGATTGTTTGCTTAGTTTCTCTTTCTGAGAATTCATCATTGGTGTATGTAAAAGCCATCAGTTTTGGGGTGTTGATTTTGTATCCTACTACATTGCCGAATTCATTTATTAAATCTAGTAGTTTTGATGGAGTCTTTAGGGTTTTCTATGTATAATATCATGTCATCTACAAATAATGAGAGTTTTACTTCCTCCTTTCCAATTTAGATGCCTTTTATTTCTCCTTCTTGTCTGATCTCTGTGGCTATGGCTTTCAGTACTATGTTGAATAAGAGTGGTGAGAGCAGACATCCCTGTCTTGTTTCTGTTCTTAGGGAAAATGCTTTTAGTTTTTGCCCACTGAGTATGATGTTGGCTGTAGGTTTCTCATATATGGCCTTTATCATGTTGAGATATACTCCCTCTATTCCCACTTTGCTGAGAGTTTTTAATCAAAAATGGATGTTGAATTTTGTCAAATGATTTTTCTTCGTCTATTGATATGATCATGTGTTTTTTTTGTCTTTCAATTTGTTTATGTGATGTATCATGTTTATTGATTTGTGAATATTGTACCAGCTTTGCATCCCTAGAATAAATCCCACTTGTTCATGGTATATAATCTTCTTAATATATTACTGGATGCAATTTGCTAATATTTTGTTCAGGATTTTAGCATCTTTGTTCATCAGGGATATTGGCCTGTAATTCTCTTTCTTTGTAGTGTATTTATCTGGTTTGGGAATTAGAATAATGCTTGGTCTCATAAAAAAAGAGTTTGGAAGTGTTCCTTCCTCTTGGATTATCTGAAATAGTTGAAGGAGTATAGGTATTAGTTCTTCTTTGAATGTTTGGTAAAACTCCCCTGTGAAGCCATCCAAATCTGGGCTTTTGTTTGTTGGGAGTTTTTTTTATTATTACTGCTTCTATTTCATCAGTAGTTATTGGCCTATTCAGGTTTTCTGTTTCCTCCTGATTCAGTTTTGGGAGATTATATTTTTTCTAGGAATTTGTCCATTTCATCCACATTGTCCCATTTGATGGCATATAGTTTTCCATAGTATTTTCTTACAATCCTTTGTGTTTCTGTGGTGTCAGTGATTACTTCTCCATTTTGTTTCTGATTTTATTTGGGTTCTCTCTGTTTCTTAATGAGTCTGGCTAATGGTTTATCAATTTTGTTTATCCTTTCAAAGAACCAGCTCTTGGTTTCATTGATTTTTTTGTATTCTTTTTTTAGTCTCTCTGTTATTTATTTCTGCTCTAATCTTTATAATTTCCTTCCTTCTACTTGATGTGGGCTTTTCTTGTTGTTCTCTTTTTAGTTCTTTAAGTTATAGGGTTAAATAGTTTATTGCTGATTTTTCTTGTTTTTTGAGGTAGGCCTGTAGTGCTATGAACTTCCCTCACACACAGGATGAGAGTGAAGGGATGGAAAAAAATTTTCCATGCTTTTGCTGTGTCCTAGAGATTCTGGGTTGTTGTATGTTCATTTTCATTTCTTTCCAGAAATTTTTCTATTTCTTTCTTGATCTCACTGGTAACCCATTCATTGCTTAATAACATGCTATTTAGCCTCCATGTGTTTGAATATTTTGGGGTGTTTTTAATTTAGTTGATTTCTAATTTCATTCCACTGTGATCTGAGAAGATGCTTGATATGATTTCAACATTCTTGAACTTGTAGATTCTTGTTTTGTGTCCTAACATGCAGTTTATTTCTGTGAATGATCCTTGTGCACTTGAGAAGAATGTATATTCTGTTGCATTGGGGTGAAATGTTCTATAAATGTCAAATCCATCTGATCCAGTGTGACCTTTAGAGTCACTGTTTCCTTGTTAAGTTTTTGTCTGGAAGATCTATCTAGTGAAGTCAGAAGGGTGTTAAAGTCCCTTACTATGACTGTATTGTTGTCAATCTCTCCATTAAAGCCCTCTAGAAGTGTGTGTGTGTGTGTGTGTGTGTGTGTGTGTGTGTGTGTAAATATAAATTTTTTCTAGGTGCTCCTATATTGGGTGCATATGTTTATCAGGTTTATATGCTCTTGTTGGATCAATCCCTTTGGTATT